TGGAGATGCCAGGAGCCACCAGCAGCCCCGTTTGTCCTGATCTTGTCCCCTCCGCATCCCCGGCTGTCACTGAGCCTCCCCCTCCGCCTGCAGCCCGGGCTCGCCACGTGCTGAGTGCCGACGGGTTCCTCATGTACCTCTGCTCCCCGGAGGGCTCCATCTTCAACCCCCGGCACCGGGCGCTGTGGCAGGACATGAGCCAGCCGCTCTGCCACTACTTCATCTCCTCCTCCCACAACACCTACCTGATAGAGGACCAGATCCGGGGCCAGAGCAGCATCGAGGGCTACATCAGGTAAAGGGGCTGCTCCCTCCTGGCTGCCCCCCAGCACCTTCCTGCCCCAGTGCTGTGCCCTAGGCAGCTCCATGGGGCAAACCCACCAAGAGGAGAAGCTTCTTTGCCCCCTCCTGTTCCAGCACCCCTGTGGCCGTGCCATGTGGTGCCCAGCAAGGGGGTCCATTTTGGGGATGCTGAGCCTGGCTCTTCTTGCCCTGCATGCAGCAGCATCTCCACCCTTGGCGGTCGTCCCCTGGTCCCTGCAGGGGTGACACCCACAGCTGGAGGGGAGGGCAGGGGACTGGTGCCCTGGCCAGGTGTGGGGTCCCAGGGGTGACTGCCCACCCGCAGGGCTCTGAAACGGGGCTGCCGGTGCCTGGAGGTGGATTGCTGGGACGGGCCGAACGGGGAGCCCATGGTGTACCACGGCCACACCTTCACCTCCAAGATCCCCTTCCGGGAGGTGGTGAGCACCCTGGGGAAGTACGCCTTCAAGGTAGGGCACCCTTCCCCGGGTGCTGGCTGTCGTGGGTGGCCCTCGGCAGCTGGGGGGGACGTGGCTGCGATTTGGGGCCGTGATGGGTCTCTGGAGGGGGAGTGGTGCTGGGGGTCACACGCCTGGTGCTGCAGCAGGGATGGGGGCTCATGCAGTCATGGTCTGCTGGGGGTGCAGGGGTGAGATGGGATATGGGGGATGCTGGGGGATTGGAGGGGCATGAAGGTCTTTGGGGATACAAGGACACACAAGGGGCTCCATCCTGGCACTGATCACGCCTGGGCAAAGCCCTTGGGAAAGCTCCTCAACCCCACTGAGGATGATGTCCAGCTGTGCACATTGCTCCCCAGACCTCGGACTACCCGGTGATCCTGTCCCTGGAGAACCACTGCAGCATGGAGCAGCAGGAGGTCCTGGCCCAGCAGCTCAAGGCCATCCTGGGGGAACAGCTCCTCACCACCACCACCGATGGGCACGTCCCCACCCAGCTCCCATCCCCAGAGGTAGGGACAGAGCATGGCTGTGCTGGGCACCGCTGTCCTGCCTGGGAGCGGGGTGAGGAGGTGGCTCTGCTATCCAGAGGAAAGGCCACCCCTGTCCCATCGTTGTTCTGCTCTGCTGGAGCACTCGGGGACCCTGGGGACACTGTGTCCTGATGTTCACAGCGGTCCCAAAGCTGTCCCCGAGGTTGTCTCCCCATGCCCTGCAGAGCCACAGGGACAGCAGGGTAGAGCCCTCCTACCCCATCCCCTCCTTGGTGCTGCAGGGAGCTGGTGGTGCTGGCCCCCAGCAGCGCAGGGTGCCAGGGGACAGCAGGTCCCATGGAGGAGATGGGCACCCCGGGGTGCCTACCTCTCCATCCACAACCCCGCAGGAGCTAGCACAAGAT